TCCCAGATATTGGTATTAACTTATGAATAACAACTTGGCAAAAGGTTCTGTCAATGACCCTCTTAGTACAAAAATCCCAGATATTGGTATTAACTTATGAATAACAACTTGACAAAAGGTTCTGTCAATGACCCTCTTAGTACAAAAATCCCAGATATTGGTATTAACTTATGAATAACAACTTGGCAAAAGGTTCTGCCTAAATTGCAGCGAAGGAAGGTATGTTCTATGTAGTGGTTCACTTCACACTCCCCCCCTCCACACACACACCACCTCCTGACTGTTTTTATTTACAATAGCTACACTCAGAGGCGTAGCCAAGGGGCCCGGCATATTGATCAAATATTATTTTTCAGCTTTTATATATAATAAACTCGTTTTGTATTGATATTATTTAATAAACAAATAAATACAACTTCATTAAACACTATTACATTTGATTTCATTTGTTTTAATGACCATTTAATTAAATTTTAGATCAATTTCAGTTTTTAATCTATTGCCCCCCCCCAGAAAATTTTCTGCCCCCGCCTTGGCTAGGTCACTGGCTACACTTAATAAATAATGCATTAGCATCACGTATCGACAGTCGCTAAACCTAGCCCCCCCCCCCAGTGTCACAGCGGTATGTCTGCGACTAGAAACCGGGTTTCGATACCCGTGGTGGGCAGAGCACAGATAGCCAATTGTGTAGCTTTGTGCTTAATTTAAAAAAAAAAACGCTAAATCTAACACTTAGCATATCCAATGGACGAATCAGTTATTCCCCTTCAACTACTTGTTTCATAAGACACTAGTTATTCCCCTTCAACTACTTGTTTTAGAAGACACTAGTTATTTCCCTTCAACTACTTGTTTTATAAGACACTAGTTATTTCCCTTCAACTACTTGTTTTATAAGACACTAGTTATTCCCCTTCAACTACTCGTTTTATAAGACACTAGTTATTCCTCTTCAACTACTTGTTTCATAAGACACTAGTTATTCCCCTTCAACTACTTGTTTTATAAGACACTAGTTATTTCCCTTCGACTACTTGTTTTATAAGACACTAGTTATTTCCCTTCAACTACTTGTTTTATAAGACACTAGTTATTCCCCTTCAACTACTTGTTTTATAAGACACTACTTCAATTTCTCTACCGATTCAACTCATTTTTTGTGGCACTATAGAAAGATTTATATCAGCACCATTTTTAAAATTCATAACCTAAACGTAAGTTGATCAAAACCACTGATAAAGTCCCTTTAAAAATTTGGATTATATGCAGGCGTCTCTACAACAAGCCTTAAGGAGTGGTTGTTCATGTCAAAGAATTGAGTGTAGCCAGGTTACTAACACTGAACAATAAAGAATTAATGTAGATAATATCTTTGTTTCTTTATTACTGAGCCGATTATTTTTATATTACTAAGGTATTACACGACTGAAAGGGTGAGCATGTTTGGTGTGATGGGGATTCGAACCCGCGACTCTCAGATTGCGAGTCGAGTGCCTTAACCACCTGGCCATGCCGGGCCTCTTAAATTTAGTATTCTGCATTAACGAAAAAACAAACAAACGATTCTTTAGTAGACTTCAACGATTTTTAAGCGTTATTTAAGAAAACAACAAATGTGTCTTATGATTAGTATAATTGCTTGCTGCACCTGTAACTAGCAACGAAAGAGTGACATTGACATCTTGTGTGTTTTGTTTAAACGAAAGCTGCACAATGGGCTGTTTGCGCCGTGTCCTCCACAGGGATCGAATATCGAATTTTAACATTGCAAACCCTCAAGCTCACGGTAATAAGATTTAATATCAATACTGAAAGAGTAACTGGTGTTTATGTCCCTTAGAGGCTTGGAAGACGTTCTTGTTGAAAGATAGGAATATGCTAGAACTTGGTGAACTGATGATTTGAACCAGAATTTTAGAAAACAGAACAAGCTCTTTTGTTTTGGAACTTTCTTTACAACTTGTCATCATATTGGGCTCTCATTCTCTAGCATAGTTCTCCGGCTTTGGATGTATAGATCCCTACCGCTCTGAAGGACCCTGCCCACCACGGGTATCGGAACCCGGATTCTAGCGTTGTAAGTCCGCAGACATACCGCTGTGCCACTGGGGGGCACTTGATAATGTCAACAAGACAGATTTTGTTTGTTTGTTTAAGCACAAAAGTGTGTAAAATTCACTATATGCACTGTGTCCATCACAGGTATTGAACCTCGAATTTTATCCTTATAAGTCCTTGAGCTTACCGCTGAACCATAGTAGAAATGTTGTACAAGTAGTTAGTATTTTTCTCACGGGAATGTTTTTGTTACTACCTTTAAAATTATTGACTATCTGATATCCTGTTAATTGATCTGGCTGTATTTAAAAATGAAATTATACCCTAATTTAGCAGTGTAAGACTAGAGGGAAGGCAGCTAGTCATCACCGCCCACCGCCAACTCTTGGGCTACTCTTTTACCAACGAATAGTGGGATTGACCGTCACATTATAACGACCCCACGGCTAGCGCAGGTAGCCCTCGTGTAGCTTTGCGCAAAATTCAAAACAAACAAACCATGATAGCGAAAGTTTTTAATTTTTCAACTACAAATTCTATAAAATAACTTACTTAATGTTCACTTATACACCCAATTTCGCAGCCAATAAAACAATTTCACTTACTTGCTAGCATCTCTTATGCATCTCTATTTCTTCATCGAAACATAAACTCTATATTCACATAACTAAACTAATCGAATAGTTGGCTTACAGTAACAAACAGACTTATAAACGTAGCTAACTCAATAATTATTCATCTACCGTAACAGACTCACTAGTCTAACACCAGTCTAACTGGTGTTTTATACTGCTTAGATCGTTTCCTAAACTTTCAAAAAAGGTCCTAGTCGTTAGTCAGGCCCATCCCTGAGTAAACAACAACACTAACGACAAAATTAAAAAAAAAGCCCACAAAAGTGTCTTATCAGTAAATCGTTATGATCACTTCATATGTTTTTTGTACTAGTCAAAGCTGGTACATTGTGTTTTCCTAAACGAGCTATACTTGAGGTAATAAAAATAGCCAGTAACGTTATTCTAACGTGCCTTTAATTATGCTTCATTAATTGCAACAAGTGTAACATTGTACACGTAAGTTCTAGCATATTTTTATAACCATATTTAAGCTTTTAAACCATGTCAGACAATTTATTATTCACGAAACAAAACAAATAGGAACACTAATTTACATTAATTACAGTATATAAAAAGAAAATACTTTTGAAACAAGCAAGATTATATCTTTTTAACCTTTACTTTTTATAACTCGCGAAGTTGCAAAAGATTCTCAAATTTATTATGCGGGACCATTCCACTGTACTCACACAGTTAAAAACATTCTCAGGGCTATTTTCTCTTTTGTAGTGGCTTATTGCATTTCTCCTCTTAATTTCCATTTTTTTTTCTTAGTGAAAAAGCTGGTATATTTGCAGAAAACCTGTACAATCATAACTGTTAATACCTCGGGAAAATAAGTTACTTCATTAATATGACTTCATGAATAACTAATACCTGATTATGTCATTTAATTTTCATTCTTTTGCCAACACCA